CATTACCCAGTGGTTTGAACCTTTCTCAATTCAAATAAAACTGCCTCTTTCTCTCTTCGCTGGTCCTTCCTATGAGATCCAACTTACACCAAAACGGGTGTGCATTTAACACCACAACTGATAAATTGTGCAATGTCTTGCATTGAAATTTGCTGTGTTGTACCCCCCGGGAACCAAACCTTCAACCATGAAATCAACGGATCTGCCAGCTAAGCATTTGTTATTCTAGCAACTCAGTCAGTCTGACTGGTTTCCAGTGAGAGTATCAAACACCCCAACCCTATAGCTCACTGATATACGGCCGTGGGACCCGTATATTATGTGCAATGTCAGCTAGAAGCTTTAATGTGTCAATGACGTCTTGTTTCACTGCACCATGTGTTGCAACATGTAGCCTGCTGGGTTAAATACTAGCAAGTTACACCGTTTATTTATAGACACAAATGTGTCGACTGATAATATCCACTATCCTGAATGAGTGCATTTTTATAACATTTTTATTTTAAACTGGCAAGCTTGTGTTGCGCATTATTGTGGCGTTAAATTAAAGAGTAAATTTGCTGGCTGTCAGCAACACCTTCAAGAATAATCTACATTTAAGCTCCTCTCTGCATGGTCTCCAATAAACGGTATGCAGTCCTTGTGTAATGGGGCCATTTGTAGCGTAAAATCTTTGGTGACACTTTATTTTGAAAGGGTATGCATAAGACTGACACGAGACTGTCATACACATGACATAACGCCTGTAATGAATATTAAGGAGTCTGTTTATGACTGTTGTCATAAAGTGTCATTTGGTAAATAATGACACGTTTAATGCAAAGTTGACACTTTTAATTGACTTTTAATGCGAGGTTTAATGGAAATTTTAGTGCAACTTTGCATTAAAAGTGTCCTTATTTACCAAATGGAAAGAGTCATTCATGTTCATGACTTGTTATATCTTGTTTCCGACAGTATCATGTCAGTCCTATGTGCACCCCTTCAAATAAAGTTTTAGAGATTTACCGCTATCTTATGTGAAAACTGCTTTTTGTATTAAAATAGATAATGAAAATTAGTTAGTATGTTATCATGTCTTTTACCAAAAGTGATACTAACTGATGCTATCGCTCCCTGCTTTCACAAAACAGTTCAGTTCCTCCAAACATTTTTTAAGCCATGAGTCAACTGATCAGAAATACAGTCATAACTTTAGAAACACAAGATCTGCTATCTTACACATTTGTCCCTGAGGGGACGCCTCTGGAGAGATGGACACCAGCGGTCGAGGGGGCAAAAAGCGGGGTACACCCTGGGCAGGTCGCCAGTCCATCTCAAGGCAACACAGAGACAGACAGGACAAACACACACACCTAAGGAGAATCTAGAGAGATCATGACTGACCGTCAAACTGCATGCAGAGAGTCCCCAGACTGGGATTCTTGCTGCAAGGCAACAATGCTACCAACTGTGCCACTGTGCAGCCCCAACAAATTCAACGGGGTTGATGAAAAGCACTATGCTGAAATTCAATGATCAGGCAACTCAAATTTCGAAGAGTAAAAAAAAAAACGTCATTAGTGTAATGCTTGGTCTGTTTCTAGCATCACTGCCGATCAACAAACTACCCATTGAGTTTAAGAGAGCTGATCTCTCTTGGTGCATTTCACAGTGGCAGTAGGTCATCTTGATATTCAAGCCTGCAAAAACAGCTTTTTATAAGTCAATTATTGTAGGGGGAAAGATTACTTCACTTCTCTACTCAGAGATGCAACAGTTGGTGTTGACTTAAACACTCACACTGCCACCTCAGTCCTTCCACAAAGCACACAGACAGGCATAAAAGCTGACGTGGAGGGCTTCGTGAAAAGACTACAACCAAGTCCCTGAATGCTGAACATTGATCAGCACTGATCAGTTAAACAAATTTGTTTTCGGTCCTGATGTGTGATCTCTTTTAGACTAGATAATATGCAAGCGGTAACTAAAACGTTCCTCAAATATCTGAAAACGTATTTGGCTCCTGATAGGCTCATCGGACACTGCAGCTCTGAATGCTATCTTGCTACGCCGAGATGCCGATGGCTCTTATCGGCATTTTTACTCGACAGAATTTCACAATATTGATTTTTTCAGATCTCTTGCGTGCTTGTAGCGCCAAGAGAATTCTGAGGGAAAGTGAAGAAAAAGAGCTGTCAGAAGTTTGCAACGTTGTTCGGCCGTAGATTAAGATTTCTTCACTGCTTGAGATCACGATTAAATGCTGGCACGTATGCACAGCACGGTAATTTAAATCCAGACAAAAGTAGAAGGTGTTAAGGAAGTGAGATGAGTGAGGGTGGGAGGAAACATAGCTGAAGCATGTTTGTCTAAAGAGTTCACTATAATCTTATAATGAACTTCCACGTGTAATGATAGTACAAACAGGGATAGACAGACAATGAAAAAGCGTCCTAGTGGAAAAGGACGGCGGGAGGAAACTGGGGCTTTTAGGCAAAACTAGAAAAAAATCTAAGATTGAGAAAGCTAAGAGCTAAGCTAAGCAAGTCCTAGTCTGCCTTTCTGCACACCCGAAGACATTCACATGTCGTCACTTTGCGTCTCTGTACTTGTTCTGGCACCCTGACAAGGGGTCTGCCTGAAAATCCCCCTTCAATCCTCTGATGTCGTCAGACATCAAGAACCAAGCTGGTGTCATCCACTTGGAGAGTCAAAGGTCAGGAAGGAATCTGCTTCATGGTAAGTAGCCAGGCACTAAGCCTGACACTGAGCCAGTAGGTGAATGGGGAGCATGTTGCTTGTGACTGGCCTCCTGTTCTCTGCTGACCAAGAGATGCACTATGTGTGCTTTCTGGAAATAGTGAAGCGTCAGCGTGCATAGAACTTAATGTTTACAGTTTGCAATGTGCAGAAGTGTATTTATTTTTGATGCGGCTTCTGCTTATTGGAACTCACTGACCAGACTGACAGGTACAACAAAGAAGTGAAAACGGCTGCCATACACCTCAACGAATAAACAAGTACAATTGAAACAGAAAATAGCTGCTATGAGCCTGACCTACATGCCTCGAGACACATGGATTATACATCTTAGTCATGGCATTATGGCTTCTACGCTGAGTGAGTGAGCTTTTGTCAGATCTTGCATTTGGTGAATAATTCAACAAAACATGCAGGTCTGGATAAATTGACACTTTCCAGTTAAGATTTGTGAACAAGGTTGTTACACAAACAGCAAGCCATTAAATTTTAAACGTGAGCGTGCATTGCGTCTCATGCGCATATCTATTTCTGCGTGAACTTTGTGTCACTGCACATAGAGGGTAATCTGCAATAAGCTGGTTAATGGGCTCGTCTGCAGTGACGCAAATATACTCACCAAGCTTTGCACTGATGGATTCTGCATGACAACTAGCCCGCATAGACTTTGGCCCACACGCCTACATATCAATGAGCTGCTTGGAGCTGCAGCATCAGAGAAGTTCACTGCAAGCGTATCGTTTTATTGGTACGCTTTATTTAGATTTATTTATTACATCAGGAGAATGTCAGCGTTAAGTGTGTGCACACAGCAGCTTTTCTGCAAGTTTTTGTTATTTAAAGAAAAGTTTTTGGTAAGCTGGTTACCGAAAACCATGGTTTAACTCTAAAGTACTCTGGTGGTAAGTGGCTAAATTGAAACAGCACAGCTAGCTGCAAGGTAGACGGAAATGAATCAACTGATTAGAAAAACCAGCAAACTGAGTGTGTCGTCTTTGCTTTATCTCCAAAAGAAGTCGGTGTTATTTATTTTTTTTTTTTTTAATTTCTGGTATAAGACAAAGCAAATTAACTACGATTAGTAACACAGAGCAATAATAAGGTGGTGTTTTCCTCGTTTGTGCATTAACTGAAGCAACATGTTCACAAACAGAAGTTGGTAATATAAACATGAACGATTAAATAAAATCACATTCTAAAAGGAATATTTAGTCCATAAAACACGTGATCAAACATTTACTGCACTGCACAGATATCCATCAAAACTCCTAACAAAACGTTTACTCTGTGAAAGCACAAACAATTAAGATATATTAGAGTTTGTGCCAAAAGAAGCAATGTCCCAGAATGCCTTTCATCCAGGAACCGCCACAGAGCAGAAGTTTAATAGTTTGTCTTTTGTGTGTGTGTGTGTGTGTGTGTGTGTGTGTGTGTGTGTGTGTGTGTGTGTGTGTGTGTGTGTTTATTTTCTGTGTCTATTGATGAATTCTAAATGCAAGGTGGCCATTTTGTACCTCGAGGTCCAGGCCAGGCAAGTAAGAAATATCTTAAGTGTTTATCAGAGGAGATTTTTTCAGCTTAAACCTTGAAAGTGTCAGCCTTTGACTAAAAATATCCCGCTTATCTAAAGCAAATTCCCCAGTGCTGACAGATAGGGAACACCTTTGTGTTTTTGCGAGTTTAGTTTTTTTTTTTGTTTGTTTGTTTTTTTAATTCTGTTGTTTTAGCAGGTCACCATGGAGATACTTGAAAAGTACAGTACTGAGTGAGGTGATACTTTCTAAAACGTTTTAGAAAAACTGCTTTGATGACCACTAGAGCGCGTGTATGAGCTGACTCGGCCACTCAAAGATTAATTTAAATAACTGTGTAAAAGTTAATTGCTCTTAATCGGGCTTGTAACTCATCCGCCGCGAGTATGATAAAAAGGAAAAAAAAAAAAAGATGTCAACTGGAGCTATTGGACTCATAGAACGTGACTCACTGTCATCCTCACACATTATAAACGCAACAAGCGAGAAATAAAACTATCATTTCCCTAATTATGACGCACAATGTAGAACAAGTGGGTGAGAGTGGTCATTAATTCATTTTTGTTAAGTGAGAGGATGGAAGTGGCACAAAATGTAAAGTTTAAAAGTTAGATTTTTGTGCTTTTTGTTATTATGCTTTTATTTATTATTTCATTGTTTTTTTGTTTTTTTTTACTTGTTTATTTTTATTTATTTTTTTTGCTGAGGCCTGCTGTTCTGTGTCACCACATCTCGGTGCCTTGTTCTCAGACACGCCTCGATCTTCGGACACACATCCGAGCTGTGGAAGGCTATTAGTAGGTGTGAGCTGTCAATCAGCCGCGGCCCGCCCAGGTGCTCCGCAGACGGGAAGCGCTTATGTGTTTTGCAGCCTCCCCCAGCAGCTGTGCAGTGGGACCTCTGTGGCTTCGCGCAGGACCACCAGACGGCAAAAAGGGCCAAAAATGTAAAGGATTAAACAGCTTTGCACCGCTTGTTGAAAGTATGTGTGCTTTGGAAGCCTTAAAAAACAAAGAAAAGGAAAGGAAAGAAACGATGCGTAAAGTTGCAGCTGCGCACCACGGACGTTCAGTAATCTGTGCGTAAAACTGAGAGACACTGAGGAGAGAAGTAAAACTTCGGCGGGGGATTTTTTATTTTTTCCAGCGAAATGGACGCGAAAGGCTGAGAAGGAAGGAAGGAATTATTTTTATTGTTATTGCTGTTATTATTTACTCTGATGTGGAGCGTTAAAGCTGTTAAAAGGGACACGCTCTGTGAATCTGTCAGGTATGCAGACTTGAGGTAAAAAAAAAAAAAAAAGAAGGACATCGCCGCTCTGCAACTTTTTCCTGCCATCCATCTGTTATGATCGTCCTCAGCTCCGAGGCTCTCTGATGTCACAGCTCCGGCGGAGTCTAGAGTCACATTTTACCGCTTACACCCAGCACTCTACCTCTCGCCATCACCATCGGCATGGACGAAAGCGTTGAGAACGTAGCTGGCAACAGCTGCGCGGACGCGGAGAGCGTCGGCCTCAGCGTGCTCAACTGGGAGCAAGTGCAGCGGCTGGACGCCATCCTCACGGGCTCAATACCCATCCACGGCCGGTGGAGCTTCCCCACTCTGGAGGTGAAGCCGCGGGACATCGTCAATGTTGTCCGTAGCCGCATGGAGGAGAAGCGGATACACGTCCGGGAGGTGCGTCTGAACGGATCCGCGGCCAGCTACGTCTTGCATGAGGACAGCGGTCTGGGATGGAAAGATTTGGACTTAATATTCTGCGCGGACCTGAAGGGAGAGTTGGAGTTTCAGTTAGTAAAAGAGTTGGTCCTGGACTCACTTCTGGACTTCCTGCCTGAAGGGGTCAATAAACAGAAGATCACACCTCTGACCTTAAAGGTAATTAATTACACATCAGCTCTTGCAAAGTAGAACTTGTGGAAAACCAGAACTTTTCAGCTTTTCAAGAAAAAAAAAAGAGATCCTGGAAAATCTAAGCTTTTGAACGTAATACCCCTAAATTGTATTTGAGTAGGCCTCACCAAAGTATAGGGTTGAGTTTGGCCTAAACTAGAAGCCTGCACATTAAAAAAAAGAAAAAAAAGAAGTGGAGGGGGGGGGTGGTTGATTTCCAGTTCAGACAGGATTCTGTCTAATCCAATTGGAGCCAGCGCTACATTAATCATTCGGCCCTCAGTTACCTGGATATCAAGGACTACCCTGGCTACTAATGGCCCACCAACAGGTGTGATCGTCAGAACATCATGACTAAGATTTTTAGCTGCACAAACAGAATTAATGTGGAGTTGCTGAAGCTGTCAACAACCAAAAGTTCATCAATTTCTTCTCCTACAAAACTTATGATTGACAAAACCATAAACACAAACATGAACCTATATGAGTCAGTAATAGCAGCTGGGGAGAAACGTTTGGACTACTGCAATGGCTGAAACTACATTGCAGCTGTGAAGGGGAGTACAAGAGAGGAAGACGGGTTAGTGGGCCTCTGGGATGGATTAAAGGAAGGTGGATGGTTTTCAAATATTTCAAGACATTTTGTAATGTGTACCTTGAGAATTGATTTTATTAAAACCAAAAGCCACGCTTGGTTGGAATACTTAAAAAAAAAAGTACCATTATTTATTACAGTTTTCCATTTATTTTAAAGTAATGTATAAAACTTGAGCGAACATGATCATAAAACGTGCTATAAATTTAATAGCGGTTTTCAAATAATCATGCAGAACATTAAACATCTTTGCCAATCCAGGGCCAAATGTCCGACAATCCATTTATACCTCCTGTAGCTTAACAATTATATCTTTTCAATTTTTTTCTACTAGTGATTTTTACAATCCAAAGTAGTTCTAAGCAGCTCAATTTGTCTTATTTTTAAGTCTCAGACAAGTGTAGTAGTAGTAGTAGTAGTAGTAGCCTTTTTTCAGTCATCTGACCAGCAGTGCCCAGCAAGGAGAAGGGGCAATGTTGCATAGGGTCATAAAATTACTTTAAATAAAATCAGTGTGTTGAAACCTTAAAATATTGGTAAGCAGCCTAATATTAAGTTACTAACATCAGAGGATTTTTATTAATTTACACTTTCATTGTTATTTAAGTAAGATTAAAGGCACTGGTTTGAATTGTCTTTTTTTTTTTTCACTATGACCTCAGTGACCCAATAAAGGTGCCAAGATCAATATTCTCCATCTGTGTCAACGGCTGATTAGTCCCAATCTCTTTGTTTCCAGGAGGCTTATGTTCAGAAGATGGTGAAGGTTTGCAATGACTCAGACCGCTGGAGTCTTATCTCGCTCTCCAACAACCACGGCAAAAACGTGGAGCTGAAGTTCGTGGACTCTCTCCGCCGGCAGTTCGAGTTCAGCGTGGACTCCTTCCAGATCCGCCTGGACTCGCTCCTCCTCTTCTACGAGTGCTCCGAGCACCCCATGGCCGCCACCTTCCATCCGACGATCATCGGCGAGAGCGTCTACGGCGACTTCCCCACCGCACTCGATCACCTGCGGAGGCGGCTCATCTGCACCCGGAGCCCCGAGGAGATCCGGGGCGGCGGCCTCCTCAAGTACTGCCACCTGCTGGTGCGAGGCTTCCGCGCGGCGTCCGACGCGGAGATGAAGCTGCTGCAGCGGTACATGTGCTCCCGCTTCTTCATAGATTTCCCCGACGTGGGTGAGCAGCGGAGGAAGCTGGAGTCCTACCTGCAGAACCACTTCGTGGACCTGGAGGAGAGGAAGTATGACTATTTGGCCACGCTGTACGACGTGGTCAGGGAGAGCACGGTGTGCTTGATGGGACACGAGAGGCGTCAGACGCTCGGCCTCATCTCGTCGCTGGCGCTTCGAGTCCTGGCCGAGCAGAACGCCATTCTCAACGCTGCCAACGTAACCTGCTTCTACCAGCCGGCTCCTTACGTGTCAGACGGCAACTTCAGCAACTACTATGTAGCGCAGGTTCAGCCGATCTACCCTTGTCCACTTTCACCTTCCCAGCAGTACTTTACTCCTTTGCAACACTCCTGGTATTCCACCTGGATGCCCTGTAACTAAACTTTCTGGATGCCCATGTAGTTTCGTGGAACTCGTGTCTGCATGAAAAGAATGCATCTTCTTGTTTTTAGCATGAAACGAAGCTGTTCCCTGTGTCAGGGCGCACACAGAGAGAGAGAGAGAGAGAGAGAGGACTTAAAACTGATTGGTTTGTGGGTTTGGTAGATCAAATGTCTGCTGAGCCACGAAGCCCTCCAAGATATGATAACTTTGTTAATTTTCCACAGCTTACAGGAAGTTACATGCACACTCTGAGCATTAAAAACCCAGAATATTCACCTTACATGCACCAGAGCAGCCTGGTGAAAATATGGATTCATTCACATGGTTTCTTCTGCTCTGTGCATGTGTTGATGTGTGTGTGTGGGTGTGCATGCGAGTGTGTCTGTTTGTGTGTGTAAGAGTCTTTACGCAAGCAATGCAAAAAAAAAAGAGGAACTGGGTACTGTTTACAAATCCAAAGATCTGCTTTAATGCTCAAGTTTTCTAAAGTTCATGCAGTAAAAAAAAAAAGAAACAACAAAACAATGCATGTTTTATTTCTGTACAGGAATAATTTTAAAGTGCCTATACCAAGCCTAAAATGGAAAAAAAAAGCATTTTTAGGATTCATTACTATAGAAAAGTATCTTGTCCTTAACATGATACTGAATGTATTTATGGAATTGAAAAAAAAAATTCTCAATGCTGAGTCAGGTCTCTTACACTGAGGGAGCTTTTGGAGCAACCTTTTTTTTTTTTTTTTTTTTTTTAAACAAGGAGTTTCTGAACACTCTGCTCATCAGCACTTCTGCAGTCCAATTGTGTTGTGATTACCAAAGAGGAAGTAACATCATAATCTCATTTTCTGTAGAAGTCGCTTGTGGGGGGGGATGGGGATCAACATCTTAGTAAAAATAGATTTCAATAAACGATAGCCGAAAGACAGAGGCTTGGATGCAAAACAGCAAACATGAGACAACATAATAAGAATCTAAATTAAAATGAAAGTGGATTAATGCATGTAAACAAAAGGGGGATGATTTAATTGCTTTCTAAGAGACATAAAATGGTAACATAAGGAATACATGCCCATTGTGTGCAAGTTTCATCAGTGCACTTCTCTTGTTTTTGCTCTGTGATGAGAATGCATTTAAATAAGTCAACATGGTGGTATTTTTTACGATGCAAAAAGTAAATAACAGTGAATGTTTACATATATGTAAAGGTACAGCTGGATAACCAAAATTAAAAATAAAAAATAAAAAAAAGCAGTCAAGCAAAAGATCTGAAACTAAATAACACAATACACTTTCCATGCATGATTTAACAGGAGATAAAGCAATATAAAATTACACTGGAAAGTTGTGAAAACATTGTGAATTTATCCAATCGTATTTAAAACATTTTCCCCCCCTCAATATTTAGCAGTAAACGACTACAAGTATTTAACTTTTTTTTTTTTTTTTACCATTGACATTTGTTGCACTTGATCATCTCAGTACATCTGGCCCTCAGGAACAATCTGCATGCAGAAAATACAAAAAAACAACAAATTTTTCAAATCAATCAGTGGAACAAGTTAGGCAAAAATGTTCCTAGCTAGACAGCAAAGTGGAAGGAACTGCACCTATTCAGCCGTATGCAACATATTCCTTTGAGTCATTCTTTACCTGAATTGTTTGCAGATTTGTAACTGGCACTGTCGCACTAAAACGGTGTCTCGAAGACCAACTACAAATTCATATTTGAAAAATCTGTTACAAATTTCGTAATGCGTCAGTCTCTTTTTGGCAATACAGCTACCATTGAATACAGCCTGGATTATAAGCAGAAATGCCTCTCTAAATAAAACCAGCCCATTACAAAAAAGGCAAATTCAGTGCAGTAGTTGCATTAAGGTAGTGCAGTTGTTCTGCTACTAGCAAACAATAGTTACACTGAAGCATATTGTTAAATATCAAAGAACCAATGTAGGGAAAAAAAACTGCTGAAAAAGCAAGATTCTGCCTGGTTTATAGGGTTTGCCAACATAATAATAGACAGACAGATCATAGGGGATCTTGCAAAGATCGAGAGCAGGATTTGAAGAAATGCTCTGCGTATGTAAACTAGCAACTTCATAAACTTCACTGCTAAGTAGAGAGGTAAAAAAATAAATTCCTAATTAAAGGAACAATCCTGTTTCCTTTTAAGTGTATGTTTATGTTTTCTCCAGGAGACCATTTTTGCCTCCTGGCTTGTTTTTCCACTGACTTAACCCGATGAACTGAGGTAAAACTAAGATTACAATGGCCCCATGACATATGAATGCACTGAAAAAGACAAAGACGAGTCAGGATTTGAGGGGTTTAGCTGATGAAGAGGACGTTCGATGAGTGGAAAAAGCGCGCAGCACGCTCAGCGACGCGGGTATTTCAACGGCAACAACTGGCTTTTTTCCTGTGCTGGATTTGTCATGAAAGCAACACAGGTGCATACATTCAAAATTTTAAAAAAGCACTCAGCAAATTTTCCAAAACATGCCAGAACTCCTATTTTTTATATGTGGTGATCTCTATTTTTGTACAGAACGTGTCGGGGTTGGTGTAGCAGGCCTTGTGATGTATGGTTTTTGTGTAACTTTTACTTCAGCTGATGAAAAGCAGTACAGCTGAATGGAGGTTTTACGGAGTTAAGGTACATGTTTTGTTTTGTTCTGTTCTGTTCGTGTGTGTGTGTGTGTGTGTGTGTGTGTGTGTGTGTGTGTGTGCGCGCGTGCTCGCACACAGGTGTTGTGGATTTGTACCATTCAGATGGAACGATGATGATGATGATCTGACAGCTGTTCAGGTGTCAAGTTGATTAACTTGATCAATAAAAAAAACAAAAACATCAAAAATGACTTGTTTCATCTAAAGTTTTTGTGTTTTTTTTCCTTCCCCCTTTTGAATTGCTCTTATTTGTAGAACTTGGTTGCTCATAGAAAAGGCCACATTAAGTCAACGCTCTCAGGTGCCCACAAAATCCCCACTTTCACTGCCAGCCACCGACAGCTGAACGTGAAGGATTTCCCCTCCAGAAGACGTCACGGACGAGCGTCAGCAGGCGTCATGATGCCGTTTGCCAACTTCCTTGGCTTCGACTGAATCGCAAACAGCAGGTGGATGGCACGTTTATGCTAAGACCTTACTACCAGCAGAGCCTTGGCCTCCAAGAACACATGTTGGCCTGCTGAGTGGATCGGATCCAGGTCTGCATCATCTAATGCCTGCAAGCCTTGACCTCCAGATGTCACTTTCCCTGCTGAAGTTGAAATAAATGTGTCTTTTAGCCTCTTTCATCATCAGGATCTATTTTTTTTCTTGTCTTTATCTCTAAATAATAATGATTCTACTTAGTGTTTTACAGCTACACCAATTTTTTTTTTTTTTTTTTTCTCTGAGCTCACCTAAAAAAAATAATTTCTGGATTTGCTTCGGTTTCATCTTTCCTTACAGAGGCTTCTTGATGAGTTTAAGCAGAGAAGATGGGAGAACCAGTGTTATCCCTGTTAAGAGGGAGTGAGTCTCTAAATATAGCCCCACCCATCTCAGCTAGTATAAGGATATTAGCCCATCTACAAAAAGCTGATTAACTTCCCCGCACAAGCATGTACTCACAGCTCTAGATATAACACATACCTGTCCCTCCTTCTGCCGTCTTTCGGGCTGCGGTCAGCAGAAAGATCCAAAAAAAGAAAGTCTGTCTACTTCCTTATCAAAGGCTTTAGGAGGAAGTGACAGAGAGGGATTGAGGCCTTCAGAGAGTTGCACAGTGAGAAAGGGAAAAAGAAAAAAAAAATCTCTCACATTTTGTAATTTCGCAACCTCAAACTTAATGTATTTTATTGGGATCTTATGTCATAGACCAACACAAACTAGAACACAATTGTGAAATGTAATAAATACCATCCATGCTAATGAACATTTGCACAAATGAAAATCAGAAAATGGTATGAAACCACTAACACAAAATGCTATCAAAACCAGATCTTGAAGCGTCTGTACTGCTGTTCGAAATATTTTTATTGATACAAATATAACTCCAGTGATAATAAAACCCCATGAATGTGTTTGGATGTTTTCACAGATAAAAAAAAAAATCAAATCAAGTCAGGCTGCTAATTGAATTATTCAGATTTCAGAAAAACAACCAAAAAGAAGGAAAACAGGAAACGAGTACCACCAAAAAGGGACTAGCAAAGCATTCAAAAACAAGGGGAATTCTGGATGTTTTTTATTTTATTTGTTTTTTGTGGAACTATTAGGACACTGGAAACAAATGACTCTATGTGTCGAGACATGCAAGCACACATGTACACACTTGGGGTCCGGCAGGGTTACGCTGGAGATGGACCAGTTGGAGCAGCAGCCGGGGCCAAGAGTCTGTCCAACTCAGCCAAGCTGGGGTCAGAAGCCACGGAGTAAGTCAAACAACAGCAAGACGAGACTGTGAGAAACTGCGATTTGTGTGTCTTGTGCATGAACCAAACACAAGAGATAAAGAGCGGCATGCACATCCGCAACTGAGTGTTTGTGTTACTTGTGGGGGCTAAAGTCTAGCTGCGAGTGTAAGACATCTGTAGACGATGATGGTTTCAGAAAACATGAATCGGAGCCATATGCTAAACTTGATCCTCTTGATTATTAGGCAAAACAATAATAGTAATAATAATAATTCACGCTTGGAGAGCTAACCCACCTCCAAGAGATTTTCCATGACAACAAGTGCCAAACAACTGACTGGCTGGAATGGTAAATCCGATTCATCCATTATGTTAAGTGTTTGAGTCTGGTTGTATAAACTATGTGGCCAGTTGGACCCCGGCCGGCACTGGAATACAGACTCGTTTGTTCCGATGCAAAAAAAGAAAAATAAATCAGCCACTAACAAGAGAAAAACGTTGCAACCTGACCGGCATCCAAAGCAATTATTAGCTTCTTGTTTCCTTGTTTGTCTTAGGTGAAAAAATTAGGTATAAATCTATCAATTGGTCAGAATGAGAACAACAGTGTTTCAGCTCAGTCTGTTTGTGTAGATGAAGTTCAGGTTCACTCAGTAACTGTAAAAACATGCCAACAGCCACATGAGGATAATACATAGCAGTGCGGCCTGTTGTATGTCACAAAATATTACACAATGCAAAATGAATAGCAACACTTTGACATGTATACTTGTGACCTCATTCTTGTGTGTGGGAAATATATATGTATGTAGATACACATTTTTTTTTTCTGTACCGTAGCTTTTAATATCAGGGTGAAAGTGTATATTGTAATGCCTTACTATCTAAAAAAAAATTTTACACCAGTTTCAATCTTACTAGGTGTTTTCTGTTTATTTGTCTTTCCATGAATTTCTTAATAAAAGAATTTAGTGTCTAAGAATAGATTGCAGTATTTGCTGAGACTTGGATTTGTATTATGTTAATCAACCACATTTTATTCATACTTCTTGTTTTGAGTGTGATCTTCTCAAAATGCAAAACTCAGGACTCAAGACATTGCATATATATATATATATATATATATATATATATATATATATATATATATATATATATATATATATATATATATATATATATAGAGAGAGAGAGAGAGAGAGAGAGAGAGAGAGAGAGTTTTTTTGATATTGTTTACACTTGTTGGCCTATTTTGTTTTTACTAAAGTTTAAGTAGAAAAGTATAACGTGTGCAAAAAAATGCTGAAAATCCGACTGGGTCTTGTCATTTCTAAGACTCAGCAAATTCACGCCACAAACAGAGGAGGACAATGTCAGTTTTGTTAAATCCTGTGACCGTATCTGGTCACAGGATTTTCGTCCAACTTTTCCTTTTTCCTACATTTAAGCAGACAATTTTGGCACCTAAATAAAGCAAAGTGGTAGTTAAATAAAACAGTTTTACAAGCAATTCAAGCTGCATTGTAAAGGTGAAATACCCAAAACGACAAGCAACTGTTAGACCCGAATGTCAATTGCAGATCTCAAGGGAAAAGATTTTATTACAATTTCCACCACCACTCCACCCAAATCCCTTATTCAAAAGAAAAAAAAAGAAGATGTTTTGTTTTAGTGTAAGTGCATCACAAACAACTTAAAGTAATGTTCACAAGCATAAACTATATCATGACTAATAATAAAAGCACAGAAATGTCAGTCTGGGCGAGAAAGTGTTTTGGTCAGGCTGAAAACAAAACAAAGCTAAGAGCATGGTTAAAATCGCTCCAGGCGAACTCCAGTTTAAAGGCAAAGTGACTGAAAACACACACCAAAAAAGTAGGCTGATAAAATGAAAAGAGAAGAAAAAAAGACAAATATCTATGTAGTACGTGAATGAATCATTTCAATCTTCATCATTACCAAATGGGTGGTAGGAAAAACATTGTATTGCTTATCGCTGCTACAGTTTCTGCTTATCATGCAGCCTCATTTGTGTTAGCCTCTGAAACATTGCAGCTTAAAGCACCAGGTTCGAGTAAATACTTTCGCCCATAAGAGTTTTTAAGTGTACTTTTGTTTTCCAAACATGCAAAAGCATTCTTAGTGTTTCCAAAGCTATGTAAAAAAATTAACATTTAGAATATGCATGCTTTTGAGTTGTAACATTTCTGGGAAAAAAAATAAATAAATAAGAAATAAAAGATTGTGGGTGATGGATCAAATGACCATGCAGGAAGATTAGAAACAGCCCGAGCAAGCATTACGAGAATCAAGTTTGTTTTTGTGTGCACGTGCAGACACATCTGCTGTTTCTGATTACAGCACCCTAGGAGGTGTTGTAATCTGTAATGGATTCCTCCCAGATGGTAAAGAAGCAGAAAATAAGAAAATAAAAGGGATCAGGACAGAACATGTCATTTGGTTACCAGGGTCAACCTGGCTATCTTTTTTTGAAAATGCATACTGCATATAGAAAATTCTCACTGAACAAAAGAAAACTGAACCATCTCTCAGCATAAATGACAAATGGAAGGAGTGAAACGCCAAGTGAACTGCATCTGTAACAGGTCTCCTTAACCTTTGGTACAAAAGAGGCTCTTAGGGCATATTATTGCTCTTCTGTGACCTTGAGAAAACCGTAAATATGATTCGTACACAGACAGAGCCTGACTTTTTTTTTTTTTTTCCTGAGCCCAGAGCCAGCAGCAGGATAGTTTTCATGGAGAGTGCTCCATCAATTAAACCAATGGGTTGATCCAGTGAGGCCCTCTAACACCACAGGTAAATCCAATGAAGGGAAAAGGGGCTTTACTGTTTGCCGCATCCCAACAAGCCTTTTCTAAACCTCTTTATCAGAGAATGTTGTCCAATTTGTGGTTTACCAAAGCATATGTGGCATGCTAAAATTACAGTTAAACGTATTTTACAGGCGAAAAAGGCTTTCCACTGTCTAATACAGTAGATGTCCTGCACGTGTAATAATAGAAGACGAGTGGGCAG